CCCCCGCTCGGGTGTGGACCCGCTGCGCGCCGGGGCGCGGGGGCGGCCGGGGGGCCGGCCGGGCCCGCCCCTCTCCTCCTCCTCCCTCCTCCTCCTCCGACCTCGGCCGCCCGCGCGCAGTCGGCTCCCCCGCGCCGAGTTTCCTGTTTAAGATGGCGTCCCCCGTGGCAGCGCAGGCCCGGAAGCTTCTGCGAGACCTGGCGCTCCGGCCCCCGCTGCTGGCGGCCAGGTCCCAGGTGAGCGCGCCCGGTGGCTGGAGCCGCGCGGAGGGCGCTGGCGGGGCGGCCGCCTGCCCGGGTTCTCGCGGCCCTCCTCGTCCTCGCCGCCGCCTGTTTCCTCCCGGCAGCGGGTGCCCGGCGGTGCGGGCGCTGCACCCCCGGAGGCGACGCGCGGAGCTGCTCCCGTGCACGTGGGAGACCCCCCTCCGCCCCCAGCCCCCGCTCGGGTGTGGACCCGGGGCCGAGGAGGGCGACACCCAGCACTCAGCAGTCGCTGGCGTCGGTTCCCTGGGCCCACGCGGAGGGCGCCGGCACCGCACCTGGCTCCGCCTGGCAAGTCGAGAAGTTCTCGGGCCGGGTTTAGGAGACCTGAGGTTTTACCATCCACGTTGCCAGCTCTCCTTTAGAAACGTCTCGACCTCTGAGCGCGTGTGTTAGGCCACGTGAAGAACATGCCCAGAAACCCATCCCAGCCTGGCTGGTATTAATGATTCACCTCCCTGAGGAACTTTCTCCGGGGGGACTGTTTTTGCAGATTTCAGGGGCGCCTGAGTTGGCAAAATGCGGGGGTCGAGGAGGAAAGTGGGAAACGCTCTCCCTTCCCTGCAACGAGGAATCAGCCTCGTCACAAACACACGTCAGAGCATCCCCCCTGTCCACTTTCTCCTCGTTTATAGAGAATAGAAAGCTAAGGGGCCGCGGGTGGATGCCGAGTAGCTGTTCAAACTTGGCCTCCTGTAGATTGTAGTTTCTGCAGAATGGCACGAGTCGAAGTATTCAGAAGCCTTTTGGTGATGACTCTTGGAGAAATCACTCAACTGCTGAACTTCTGATTGTCCACAGATAAGTTCTTCCCCCCCTTTAAAGAAAGGGCAGCGTGGGGCTCAGCCACAGCTGAGCAACGTCCTTGTTCATTTTCCCCATTTTTAATTTATGAGAGTCAAATTATCACATGCAATTTTAACCAGGATATGCATAGCATAGTTTTTAGGAAAATTATAAGATAGCTACCAATGATTCTTTGAGTTACTCTAAACGTTGGCTAATTATATGCAAGGTTTTGTTTTTTTCTTTTTTCCCCTCTCATTTCCTGACTTCTCATTTCTGTTTTTGTTAACGTAAATATAAAAGGTGCTAATACTTATTACTGTAATATCCTTAATAGGCACTTGACAGTATGGTGGGATAGTGGAAAGGAATGGCAGTTTTGTCTAATTAAAATCACTAATAACTATTGTAATGCAGTGAGAATACCTCCAGGTGATCAAGTCCTATTCATTATTTAAGTGTTACAAAAAACAACTGTAGTGCTAACTATGAGTGCAGACTTGAATTGATGAGACACATAGGGCCCTGGGCAGTGAAAACTCAAGCAAAGCTTTAATTGTACAAGGAACCCAAGTGTTTAGCTGAGGTGTGATAGGGCTTCCTGCCTAACCAAGAAGTGAGATCTGAACGCAACACTCCAGAGAATCTGTCTGGGGACAGATAGCCTTGGTGTGGCAAGACTGGGCAAAAGGTTCTGTTACCTCGCTCCATCCAGCAGCTTTGATTTACATCACTCTTGGATGATGTGTTACCCTGTAAGCACAAGGTTTCAAAGATGAGAATTTTTTAGAAGTTCGGGTTAGTGCTTAGTGCCCAAGAACCAGAAATGGACATTAGCCAGTATCTAGTGCAACCAGCTTATTTCACAGGTGGAAAATTGAGGCGTAAAGAAATTCAATGACTTGTTCAAAGTTATAAAGAGAGTTTGTGACAGAGCCCCATTCCAGAATAGTTTACTTTTAAGTTTCTGTTACACCACGCTGTTGCTTGGTGAGTGTAGACTTCATGAAAATGCGTCATGTCAGCATTGAGGTTAGTCTTCTTATCAAGTAGCCACTATATAACATCCAAGTCCTAGAACTACTGACATTTAAATTAAAAAAAATTTTTTTTTAAACTTTATTCATTTTTGAGAGACAGAGGCAGAGCGTGAGCAGGGAAGGCGCAGAGAGAGAGGGAGACACAGAATCTGAGGCAGGCTCCAGGCTCTGAGCTGTCCTCACAGAGCCTGCTGTGGGGCTCGAACTCACGAACTGCTAGATCACGACCTGAGCCAAAGCCGGATGCTCAAGTGGCTGAGTCACCCAGGCGCCCCTAAATTTTTTTTTTAATAAATCTCTTAGAATTGACAGTATTAGGAGAGTATTGCTCATGACTTTTAAGATACTTTTTAAATTCTTGGGTACTTCTTAGTATCTCTTCCGAGTCTCCTTTGGTGTTGTGCGCACCTACTCCCTTGGCCACGGCACACATTACAGTTGAACATGACCCCCTTTTCCCACGAACCTTAAAACTCCTAAGTATTTTCAGAAATTTGTTGCCACTCTTGCCTCACACCTAGTTTTTACTAGGGCCTTGTGCAGAGCTGTTGGGTATGCAGAGATAAAAGGCCCAGTTTCTGCTTTGAGAAATAACTGTAACCACTCAAAAAGATGTCCCTAGAATGACACTTTAGCTCCCTCCCCTCTCCCACCCTGTAGTTAAATTTAACATTTGACACATATTCCCGAGGTTTAATGTCATTGAAATTTCTTATTTCCTCCGCTCTTGGCTTCAGTTATTTGACTTATGATTGATGTTATAGTCTTAGTCTGCTTTAGCCATTTCTTATTTTACATACATTTTTTATTCAGTCTATACCTAGGACAGGACTGTTCTAGGTGCTGATATTTGGGGGTAGAGAACAAAGCCAGCAGAGCACATGGCCACATCATACTTGATTTTAATGGGAGTGGGGAAGGGCTAGACTGTACATACATACATAAATAATGATGATGATTTCAGCCAGCGACAAATGCTACACAAAGGTAAAATAGAATCCTGGGATGGAGAATGAATAGCTTAGCCAAGAAGGTGTGCATAGATTAGGTGGTCAAGGTAAACGAATTTGATAAGGTGGGGTTTTTGTTTTGTTTTGTTTTGGCTTGATTTTTTTTTGTTGCAGTGTAACACATGTACTGAAAATGTACATATTATAAATGAACAACTTGAAGGGTTCTCACAAACGGAACATGCCCAGGTCACCAGATTCAGATAAAAAAACTAATCATTTAGTGGCAACCCCGAGGGTCCCCTGGTGTTTCTACCTGTTGCTGCCTCCACCCTGGAAAGGGTCACCAAGTCCCTACACTTACACCACCAAACCACGGTCTTGTTCCTTTCTGTACTTATGTAAATGGAATTGTACAATATGTAGTCACACGTTCAATATTAGGTTTATGAGATCCTGGAGGTGACTTTTTGACATTTGAGCTGAGACCTGAGTAACCAAAAGTGGCCAGCCAGGTGAAACTTTGGGGAAGAGTGTATTAGGCATAGAAGACAGCAAGTGCAAAGGCCCTGAGGCGGGAGTGAGCTCAACATGTCCAAATAGTTAAAGAGGGGAAAGTGGTAGTACCAGTAGTAGCTTGAGGTAGGCAGGGGCCAGATCATGTGGGGATTTGCAGCATCTGATAAGGAGCTTTTAAGAGTCTAGAGTGGATAAGTGACTTGCTCAAAGTTATTTAGCTAGTAAAAAAATAGCTGGGTCTGAAACCCAGTCCTGGCTGCTAAAGATTAGGCATGTAATTACTGTACTGTATAATTCCTACTGCAGACGTAGGCTGGCTTTGGAAACTTTTAGGGGGAATGTTCTGTGAACTCAGTACTCTAGTAAAGATCTCATCATTGTTAGGGGATTTTTCACACGTAAGGGCTATGTTGCTGTGTCCAAATAGTCCTCCAGGAGAACAGGATGCTGTACTACATGGCAATGTCATACAGCATGACAAGGCTGCGGTGGGCACAGAGATGAGCCCACTCTGTAGGTCATGTCACATGGGAATTTTGGTTGAGGGCACAGTTTCAATGGTTAATGATGATTCCAAACGTGGTATTGTTGCCCTTCTGCACACACTCCCTCTCATAATGGCAGGGTGGGATTTGCGGAGCTGCTGTGTGGTGAAGGGTAGACCCTGTGGGAAACACTGCCTGTCTGGTCCCCAGCTGTGGAGTTGTTGTGTGGTTCTCTGCAAAGCCCGGAGCTTCTGTCCAGGAACTCCTAGAGGAACACATGGTTTTGAAGGAAACTGTTTAAACCCATGCCCCTGCTGTTGTATGCTTCTAAGTGGGTGGCTCCAGCTTAATTTTCTGCTCCTTCGGGATGTAGGAGGAGAAAGAGGGATGCGTGGCTTTTAGAAGTGAAGGACTAAAGGTCCCGTGTAAGTCCTTATCAGCTAAATGAGCCTGTGGAGGCTGGGCCGGAAGTTGTGACTCACATATTTGTGCCTTTTGCCTAAAAGAATAAATATCTGACTTTTTTTTTTTTTTTTTTTTTTTTTTTTTACAGCTGCAATTTCTTCTGTTAGAGGAAGAAATCTATCTCAGATAATTTACAAGCTAAACTGTTGACCTTCTGTGTGGGGAAGACCTTTAAGTGTCCCAAATTGGTTTTGTTTACTGTAAATGAAACTGATCTTTTATGGGCCAGGGATGGAGTGCGCAGACCCATGGTAGTGAGAACGTTGCTGCCTGTGTATCACAGCCCTGTTCTGCAGGCACAATGCCCAGAAAGTCGCTGAAATAATACCTCATATTTTGGGAAGGAAGAGAAATTATCTACCTAACCTCAGATCATTTGTCCTTCAGTTCTCTTTACTACTCAGTGTGGGATTGTCACTTGATTTATCACTTTCTGTTACTCGATGGAAATGTTTTGCCTCAAGAACTTGAGAGATTTGCCCACGTTTGAGCAAATGGTAAAATCAATATCCTAATGAAACTTTGGGAGACAATACTCGAGTTAGTCTGGTGAAGAGGGAAGTGGGGAGGGCACTGCAGGTGGGGTGGGCAGTGTGCAAAAAGGCAGAGGAGAGAGAGAACGTGGGGGAGAGTGCAGGAGTCAGTTCTTGCCACCCCTTTTGTATGGAGAAGGGAGAGGCAGGTATGTAACTGAAGGTGATCTTCTAGACAAATGAGGAAGGAGGATGGGC